TTCCAGACTGTGGCGAGACTTCTTTTCTTAATATTATGGGCTTCTTTAGTTGCAAATAAAGGCTCTTGGCTTAGATAATGCGTGACAAAGTCACTTATTTAGTCCTTTCACATCAACAATAGTAAAGCATGTCTGCTGATTGATTTTCATTATTAGGTTGGTTAACCCTTTTGAATTTGGATGTTGCCAACTTCCGCATCCGTTCTTCGCTTGTCCTTTTTGTAATTAATGGCAGGAATTCGGTCTATAGTGATTACGAAGGAAAGAATGCTTCCATTTTCTCATCCACTCCACTACGGTTTACGCATATTTTTTGATGGCAGATCTATGACGCTCACTCCATGGTAAACTACGAAAAGAAAGCTTCATATTGGCTATTTTTTATTTTCATAACAGCAGGTTTATCGTTTATCTATAGTCAACAAGCATCCACTTTTTGTTGTTATGACCGATGAGAACTTGATTATTGTCTTGCTTAAGTCTCTCGTCTGAATTAGCATTTCCAGGCTATTTAATCGCGATCAATTTAAAGATATGTTAAAGTAAGGTAGAATAGATAAGTCTTGACGCAAGTGGAAGCCACAGAGTGTAGGTTTAGATCCACCAATCGGAATATCAACGCATATGCATTCAAAGGAAATCATGACCGAACAGAGCGTTGGTGTACATATTTATGAACACCGACAGCCTAACCTTCTCGTAAACGGTATGTTTCTTTTTAATCAAGACAAAGACATACCGTTGTGTCATTAGTTAGTGTGATGGTGGCCATGGATATCTTGGTGTGAAATTCTCTAACTTAACCGTTATTTTGGAGTACAATGAAACACAAAATATAAACCCCAAAGCTACCTTTGTCAAATGTTCAGGGGAGAAAAGACCATGTCACTTCTTGGGGCCCGACACTCTTGGAATGTGTCAATTGCATAACCCGTCACACGCAAGACACTTCAAATAAGAATGCTTGGCGTATCCACGAGAGGTCAAGTGTTACGGTAGATGCGGGCAAATGCTAGGTTAGGGCCTTCAACAGCGTCAGTTATGGAGGACATTAGGTGGTTCTGTGGACAGGCACTGTCGTTCTGCCACTTGCAATATCTTGGCCTAATCAAGTATTGACAACGACCGGGCGTCTCTTACGATTTGCAGAGGCCGCTGCAATACGGAGAAGAAAACCAGAACTCTGTAAGAAGTTGGATCATGGGATGAATCTCGCATTGCCATGGTTATGATCGATAAACTCATTCCCCCTCACGCCTCCTCGTCCTCCTTAGCACTAACTGCTATCCTGTCCCCTGCCCCACCCACCCTCCCCTTTAACCACGTCATACAGGCTTTCATGAACATGAACTGCCATGATGTGACAACTACCTCTCCCCTCCTCTACCTCCTCACCATGCGCCCACATCTACGACTTACTGTTTTCTCTAAGGACCCCAGTTTTTTTAGCGAACTTGTCGAGAGCTTGTTCACTTTTTACGTCGTTAGAGAATGACCATCGAGTTTGCATTTTAAGGTCTTAGACAGGGACATTTTAGTACTCAAACAGCTTTATAGCTTGACCACGTAATTATATTTTCCTTACTGTCGACCTATAAAACGCTCGACTTGTTTTCTCCCAAAATTTCAATCATGAGCCTGAATTTTTCAAACTACGAAGCCAATTGGCCATTGTGTTGATCGAAATTAAATTATAATGACCCGAGAAACTAATCTGAAGTGCTCTAGAGTTGGGTTTTTCATTTCTAGTTGGTGTATTGAGGCTGAAATGTGCAGTGAAACAACAAAGCAAGGGAATTTGATCAGAGCAGTAAATTTGCTTGGTAGTCCTGCATTTTCCATATCTGACCGCATAATATATTTCTTCTTTTTGTTTTATAGGTACGTTACGTAGTTTTAAAACCTCCGTGTGCTTGAAGACAGCTTCTCAAGACAGTAAGCATTCTTGTCTGGGCATGTCATTTTTACTAACTTGTTTCTCCCCAGATTGCCATGCTATTTGATCTCCTGGCCATTTATGACGCAGCAAATTGAATCACGCAATTTTGTTCGTAGCAAATTTCCCATTGTTGTCCACCTTCTCAACTCGGAAATTCTTAACCTCACGGCTGAGAAGACCTCGACTGTTGCAGATGTGTTTTCGGATGTGTGTACTTATCTCGATCTCTATGATACAGACATATTCGGACTAGCCCAGAAAACAGGTAACGTTGAATTTCGTAGTTATTTCGCTAGATAATGGAATGCTTTTTCTCAATCCGGCCTCTCGTATTTCCTCCCTCTGCACCCTTGAAAAGACAACAAGCCTCGTCAGGAAACTGGTAAACTACTTTCCTTTTATCATTCGCAACTTTTACTACGAACGTTTTATATTTTACTTTATCCTCACCTGCTTGCTATTCCTTTTTCTAGTCTCTGCTTTAACTGTCGAATTGAACCTCGAAATGATCAGTGCACTTTCAAGATTTAAGCGTACATCCCTTTTGAAAAACGTCGCGGTTAATTAGTTAGAGAGTATATGATCACTTCCCGTTTCCTTTCTATGTAGACCTTCGTGGATAAACAAGGACGATCAGTCACTAGAGCAGGTTTCCATGTCCAGCTGCTTGTAGCAAAAAACGGAATTCGGAATTGCCTAACTAGGATATGTTTACTAGGTCCAAGGCCCCAAATAGTAATTGGGGGTTTGCAGCATCCGTAATTGCTAGCGTGTTTGTAAAAGTGATGAAAAAATTGCATATTGTGAGCTTTTATAGCTACCCCCTACATTAATACTGACTTCGTTGCGCGCATTCTACCTTACTCGTACTTATTACAGCCATGTTCATGTCTGATCTAGCCGGTCTCTTTGATGTCACGTATTGCACATATTGCATTCTACCGGCGAGTGTAGGTTCACAGTATTGTGTCGGCTGCCGAGAGTACTGGACTCCACCGACCCCGAACTTTTAGTTACACTCTTCTTTCAACTTGGAGTAGGAGTAGCTCACACGTCTTCGTCGGCAGTTGTCCGAGCGCCCAAACTTAAGTGGATAGTGACTGGCGGTTCTGCTCCGTTTAGCGGCAACTATTTCTAAATTGTTTATGCTTGTTTTCGACGCATTGCCTCCATAAGGTGAATGAAAAAACATATTGAGCTAAGATGCTACCTGATAATTATTGGTCGACCATTATTGTACCTCTCTTGAGGGAGGGGTATATTAACTACTGCACCGTAAGTTTCATCGATATTACTTCACCGGTCTTATTAATCATCACTCTGAAGCAATTCCAAGGTGCTTGCAATAGAGACTGTTCCGAGGTATACACCGACCGAGTATCTGCCGCAGAGCGTACCCTGTAATTTACCATGACTATTAGCGACTAACGGTGTCTGGTTTGCCGATTTCACGGCACTCTTCGATCCTACTAATAATTAATTACTGTGCCCGGTAACCGAACTAAGCAACGTGCCGGCGAGACTCATTACCGCTCACGCTTGGCGCGCGCGTTCGTGTCCACACCAACTTTGAAGTTCGCTTGGTTTACGTTATTTCACCTCTCCCATTGAATAGACTGAATTCAGTTTCGTCTGCCAAATTTGTACCGGGACGCCGGCCAGCCGATCCGTTTACGCTGACGATATCGGTCTGGAAGTGTTAAGTTTTGAGGACCCTATGATATTGCTTCTCAGGTCGACAAGATCGCTAGGCGGTTTATTTACCAACGCTACAAAGACTGCTGGATTTTCCAGCTGCGCCTTTAGCTAGGAGAATTCACCTGTCGTGAAGAGGTGGATAGGTCAAAATATTTCGGCCTGAAGTTGTCATTTGGGCAGGGGAGAACGTCGCTCGATCCTGCATTGCTCACAGGATTACTTTATGAGGTCAAAAGTGTCTGTGGACACTTAACGGTATCTCGGTTGCCGTAAAGATCTCCCTTACAGGGAATGCGTCCAGTTGAATGTTTGTGGAAGCAGGGATGTGCTCATGGAGAGCGAGATAAACTTGTTCTTTTCTGATCCTCGTAACGACCTCTTCAGTGAAGTACGCATATTTTCATGTTGAAGCGGGAATCCTTAAAAAACGACTGACTTGCTTGAGCGTGTTCTTCATTTCCTGTCTCACGAATTCACTGCCGCTAAACTAAATCCGCCATCGTCACGTAACCAAAGAAGACGGACAAAAATTCTGGTCAAAAGCTTGCTTGACGCGCTTCGTCAAGGCATTTGCTTGGCTTCCAGTCCCACAGTATTCGATTTTCCTCGCTGGATAGAAGTGTGAGCCAAGTTCACTCGACCCCCTGCTGCGAATCATCGCGTGTGACATCATTGCGGTCTGGTAGATGGGCAGTGCTCACTGCCGCGTCAGATGCAAGATACGCGACTGTTTTCCACTAGATCACTATTGCCTCCTTACATTGATGGCTTCAGCATACGTAAGTCTAGTGTCTCGTCTGCCTTATTTGTGTCGTCCGTCTCCTTTTACTGTTTGGTTTTTTTTTCGTTGGTTGAAGATTTTATCCTGTGCCTTACGGTCGAAATCTTTGCAGAGTTTGCTGCGTTCTTCAAGAAAATCGCTACCTCTTTCAACGGTTAACGGTCATAGTCTTCCGGGTGCCGATAACTGCCCAGTCTTCTATTTTCGCGTTCGCTTCTACATTCCGAATCACTGTTTACATGGACGCAAAGTACGCCACCTGTACTACGAACAAATCAAGCACAATGTTCTGCACTATGGTCTGTTGTGCAGTGAAGACGTCTACTTCCAATTAGCCGCTTATGCTCTTCAAACTGCTCTGGATGCAGACGTCTTGGAAGCCCTCCATGAAGGCCTGCCTCTTGATGAAGACGTCCTCGACTTGAGCCACTTCTTTCCATTTTGGGTGTGTTTTACGGTTGCTCTTCTTCATTCAGTATTTCATAATGCGGAGTTGGTTATCTCTATCCGTCCATGCAACTGTGCTGTCATCCAGCTATCATTTCATAGTTGTTTTGAGTGATCTAAACCTTGAGGCGTAAATTGAAATTGAACGTACTGACTATATGGTGATCTTCCTTTTCCCGCTCCCATCATGATCCAGTTTTTCCATGACGCATCCGACAGTTCGTCGAACTTTTCAAGAACCGCCACTGCTTCCCGCGAGGCAGTTTTCACCTAAAATTATAATGATAAAGCCAGGATGACTGGCGGTAGGCATGGGCTCAGTTCTTGGGTCTGCTTGCATCCATGGCGTGTTCCTGTTAGCCCCTACCCTCAGATGAACCAGATTTCAATAATGGATCGTGTATTTCCCACCGATAACACTTGCCATAATGATCCTTTGCTCTCTGACTCCATCTCGATGACTGAGTTATCCGGCTAATTAGCGACCTTCAACGCCACTACTTCTGTGGCCTGGTGATGACTCAGCACAGTGTGAGATTTATTCACGTGAGGCCAAGTTGCTGAGGGTTGACCTCTGAGTTGTAAGGCCGAGTGAGAGCGACTTACTGTGGTCGTACACAATGGCTGTCGCAGCCTAAAGCTTCCACCACCTGCAGTCCACCCTCACTTACGCAATAGCGCTGCCTGTTTTTAGAGACTTTACCAGACATGTCCATTTATCTAGTAGTAGTTGGTTGGAAATAAAGATCGATTCTGGATTTATAAGCGTGTATAACTGTGTTTTTGTAGAAATAACATCGTCCGGAGCGAAATTACTTAGTCAGTCAGTTTGATAATTTGGGTTCTCACAATCTCACTGGACTAATGACGCATTCTGACCTATACTAACGTCTCTTCGAATTACGCTGAATTGGTTTGGTCTTATCAGCTTGGTTCTGAATGTTATTCTACTGTGTAAGTATGCTCTATGCCTAGTATTCAAACCCTCGTATTGACTGCTATTCCTCATCGCTAGGACAAATGCCCGCATAATTGTTCAAGCCTTTAACACCTTGAGACACACGGAAAAAACGTATCTTACTTTATCCTTTTTTAGTTGATCGATGCCTACGGCGCCGACTACCTGATCCAAAGTATCCCAACTCTGATCAGAAAACTGGCTGATATTCCTCGTGATGCTCTAGAATTTCGATACATCCGTCTAGCTTCCGAGGCCTCATCTAATTTTAATCTACATCTCTATCAAGTTTCACCGCTATATCCTGCCTCAGTGGAACATGGACGCCCCCAAAGCCAGAGGCCCGTTCTTCGGCGATCTTTCAGTCGTTGTAGCCATAGCAACGTCTCGTCCGGTTGTGGGTCCTTCTGGTTGGGTATCAGTCCCTACGGTCTGGAGTTCCACGAGGTATGATTCTTGCACTTTTTATTCGTCTTGTTCAATCGCCTTGAATTGGAAAATCCGTTCAACTTGTAGTTTTGTTCAAACATACCTCTTGACGGCTGGGTAGTCAACTAAACGCCAACACTCTTGAATCTTTGTATCTTCAGAAGTTTTACAAGGTATTTTTGGCTTTTAAAATAGATCTCGGGGTTAAACTTTAAGAGTCGCTTTATATACCTTTAACCCTGACTGTGAACAAACTGCTATCTTTTCTCCTAAAGTCCCTAATTTTGTTCAAGATTTTGCTTAAAGCATAACCTCGTTTATGCGTATCCATGTTCTGTGGGTTTACTTCAGCCCTCATCACCCCACCGTCTGCCAAATGATTTCCTTACTGTCTAACGCATGACCGGACAGCAAATATTCGAACGCCGTGAGTAATGCTAATATATGGCTCGTCGGTGTCCTTTGGAATGCCATCTAGTTTAGAAACTAGGCCCTTTACCTTTTCAAAATGGTAATTTCCCAAAATAACCACCGCTCTTGTAACTCCTTAAACATTTTTAATCCAGCATGAAACCATAGAAGGCTACATTGTCGTGAAAACTTATTGTTAAAGAGCTGTTCGGTATAAATTGTAGACAGCCATCGACTTCCGTTCATTCAAGTTCCTAGTAAGGTAAATGCAGCTCGAGAAAATTGCTTCTGTGCCCGTTTTGTTTATACCACTAGGGAAAACCTTTACACTTCTTATATTGAAAATCGGCCATATGCCATCTAAAAAGCTGCTCTTTTTACTGCTTTGGGTTTTTCTCAAATAACCGCTTTTGGCGACTTCTTCCCAACAATTTAATCAAATCCCCTTGTACAACTGCTGTTTGAATGCTTGCAAGCCCCCTAAGGTACCGTTGACTTAAAGCAAGTGCCGTTTGTTTATGTGACATCATAGGATATTTTGATCCGTAGGAGGTCTGTCTACTGTATTTTTTGTGAAGCGTGTTAGTGGTTGTCTTGCCTGTTTTCTGCCTATTTTTATTGTTAAGATATCTCTCTGTCTATTTCATTCTCCTCCAGGAATACAGAAACAAACGGCTCGCTAACATCAACCGAATTCATTGGGACCGAATAGTGAAACTGTCGTACAAGGTAGGCCAAAGTTCGCAAAACGCTCGTGTGTCTTTTTGTACTTCGACTGTTTTATAAAGTGTGGGTAGTTTTTTTAATGCGTCATCGACAATCTGTTCGATCGCCTGCAGGGCATTTCTATTGCGTAGATTCGAATTCTTCAATTTTGTTTGCATTCACTAGAGAACTTTTAAATGAATTCTAGAGGCTATGCTAATGGAGGGTGTTTGCCATTTGCATGCACCCATTAGAATGTTTCGAAAAAGTACTAATTCATTTACTTAAGACTAGTGACTTGTAAAAGGTCTTACGTGGCACTCTGCGTCATGTTTGTGCAAGTGAAATAAAAGGTTCGAAATGTCATTAAACTAATGTTGGTACTTTTAGCGAGAATACCAGAATGTTTGCCTTAGACCTAACTCACGAATTTCAATGGCGTTTGACGAGTTCGTCACTTCGTGAAAAAAGTAAGATCTGCCCACGGATCCTTTTCTCATTTCTCAAAGATTATGCGGATTAGCAGTACTAGCTCAGATGTCCAAAAACTCCCAGTAGCTTGGTGATAGTAGTATGCCATTTGCCATCTCTAAAAAGGACACATTTTGGGTTATTTTCTTCACTTTTCGTGTCGTTTTTCGTTTCGACCATAGTTGCTTATTTTCCTTTTCAACCGATCTCCTAATCTGGAATCAATGGTCGCTTTTACCTTCTCTATAAAGGCAAGATCAGAGTACAATCTTGAAATTGTATTGTAACTATTGATTTTCGCTCGGAGAGTAGTCATTTTTCACAGACGTTCATGAAATAAGTTTTATCCGCGTGTGGTGGTAAATTTCTGGCTCAATGACCGGCTGAACCCGGTTTCCAGCCTTGCATCTTTGACCGGAGATAAGCCAGATGTGCTCTGCCAAGTGTTGCCTTTGTTACTAAAACTTGTCCCTATATATGTCTGCTCTTCGAAGTCGAACACACCCCTACTAGCGTTTGTTCATGACCGTTTTCGAATCTATTGACTCACGATTCTTCACGTAGTTGCCTGTACATACACCTGTACTACCCATTCCATGGCTCCCGCACAACGTCGTTTCAGAGGGCCCTATAGAGCATTTTTTACTCTCACTTTTGGCCCTCGGATTAGGTTCACTGTTTCCTATTCTCTGTTAGTTCAACTACCTACTGGAACTCCAACTCCTGGGCAAGCTCGGCAGTTTTCCTCTCCTACCAGTAGAATAAAACCATAACATTTTTTGTTTCATTGTTGCTTTTCCGTAGAAAACCGCCATCGATGCTGTGGTTCCTCGGCCAGCCAGAGAAATTGTTATCTCGGGGTTCACGGAGGCTTTTTGCGTTAGTCTACTCGTCGATAATTGTAGTATTGTGGGGGTATTGCTGCCGACGCCGTTTACCT